GGAGGCTAAACCCTGGGGCACAGAGTCCAAGGCCCCCAAGGAGACTTTTTCTTTAACTTGCCCCATCCCTGTCCCTGTCTTCTCCCTCTCCTTGTAAAAATCAGGTAACTATCCTATCTAATAAAAGAGAAATATGCAAATTGACCACAACCCCAACACCCTTCCCATTAGCTAATCAGCAGGATATGCAAATTAACTGCCAACCAAGATGGCGGCCGGCAGCCACGCAGCTGAAGTGAACAGGAGGCTTGCTTGCTCCAGTGACAGAGGACGCCAACGTTCCTGGTCTCCCGCTGCCAGCCTCTGAGCTGCACTCTAAGCAACTATGTTGCAATTATAGAAGCTAAACAAGCTCCAGAGACCTGCTTTCAGCTAGCTTCGACCTCAGAGCTAGAGCTGCAGTGATGGCAACAGAGTTTCAATTATAGAAGCCAAACAGACCCAGAACTTGCTTTCAACCCTCAGAGCTGGAGTTGGCTCTCAGCTCTAGTGACAGCTATAGAAGGTAAATAAATCCCAGAATTAAAAAAAAAAACAAAAAACAAAAAAGGAGAGCCTGGGAGCTCAAGTTGCCCTCCAGCCTGAAAATGGCTGTGAGGCCCTCACCCAGACTGGCCAGGTACCCCAGTGGGGACCCCCACCCTGAAGGGGCTGTGACCAGCTGCAAATAGCCATCAGCCCGTCATCCAGGCTGGCCAGGCACCCAAGCGGGACCCCCACCCTGATCTGGGACACTTTCAGGGCAACCCAGCCGGCCCCCACCTGTGCACCAGGCCTCTATCCTATACTACAGGCAGGGCGGGACAGCGCGAGCTGCCACCCTGGCCCCATGTGCAGTCCTGGGCAGCGGGGCATAAGCCCCGCCCCCAGCCAGGACCCTATGACTATTGGAGAGAGAAAGTGCCATTGGTCCCTGGGTCGCTGTGGTGATCCAGCCATCGGTAAGTAGAAAAGTGCAGCCTGTAGGCAGCCCCCAGCTGCATCTGATCTGGGAGCAGGAAAGCAAGCCCGGCTTGTGCCCAGCCCCCAGCTGCGCCTTCTCCCTGGTCGCCATGAGGATCCGGGAGCAGGAAACAAACCTGGCCTGAGAGCAGCCCCCAGCTGGGCCTGATCCGGGAGCAGGAAAGCAAGCCTGGCCTGCGGGCAGCCCCAAACTTTCCCTGCTCCTCAGTTGCCATGGTGATCCGGGAGCAGGAAAGCAAGCCCGGCCTGCGGGCAGCCCCAAGCTGGGCCTGAAATGGGAGCAGGAAAGCCCAGCCTGCGGGCAGCCCCCAGCTGGGCCTGCTCCCCAGTCGCCATGGAGGCCTGGGAGCGGGAAAGCCCGGCCTGTGGGCAGCCCCCAGCTGGGCCTGCTCCCAGTCACCATGGCGATCTGGGAGCAGGAAAGCCCGGCTTGCAAGCAGCACACCCATTCTGGCCATAGCTCAAGGGAGAGTACAACATGCAGTGGAGGCCTGAACCTGAGAGATCAACACAGAGGAGCTCCTGCTCCGAAAGCGCAGCCTGCAGGCAGCACCCCACCCTGGCCACAGCTCAAGGGAGAGAAAAACACACAGTGGCGGCCAGGAGCCTGAGAGATCAACACAGAGGGGCACCTGCTCCAAGCCTCTATGGTGTGGCCGGGGGCAGGCCCCCAGCAGACACACTCACTCACACACACACACACACATACACACACACACACGACGCCTGCTCCAAGCCTCTGCTGCCAGACTGTGGCCATCAGTAAGACATCCACTGAGGGCTCCCGGACTGTGAGAGGGGCAGGCTGGGCTGAGGGAACCCCACCCCCAGTGCATGAATTTCGTGCACTGGGCCTCTAGTCCTATATAATAAAGAGGTAATATGAAAATTGCCATCACTCCAACACACAAGATGACTGCCCCATGTGGTTTAAGATGACCGCCCCCATGTGGACACAAGAATGCCAGCAGGGGAGGGAAGTTGGGAGCAACCATGCCTGCAGGGGAGGGAAGTTAAGGGTGACCGGGCTGGCAGGGGAGGGCAGTTGTGGGGGACCAGGCCTTCAAGGGAGGGCATTTTGGGGGGACCTAGGCTTTCAGGGGAGGGCAGTTATGGGTGACTAGGCTGGCAGGGGAGGCCAGTTGGGGGCAACCGGGCTTGCAGGGGAGCAGTTAGGCGTTGATCAGACTGGCAGGAGAGTAGTTAGGGGGTGATCAGTCTGGCAGGCATAAACAGTTAGGGGCAATCAGGCAAGCAGGCAGGCAAGCGGTTTGGAGCCAGCAATCCTGGATTGTGAGAGGAATCCCAGATTGGAGAGGGTGCAGGCTGGGCTGAGGGACACACACACACACACACCCCATGCATGAATTTTGTGCCTCAGGGGGTTTCCCTCTTTATAATGAAGAAAATGAATCCCAGAGTAGTTAAGTGACATGCCCAAGGCCAAAGAGAGTGACAGGCCATTCATGATATGGCTAGAGAAGGGTGTTTCCTCTGAGCTCCCTGTTTGCTCACTTCTTTTTTTAAATCTTTATTGTTGAAAGTATTATATATGTCCCCTTTTTCCCCATTGACCCCTTTTAGCTTGCCCCAGGCTTTCACCACCCTATTGTCTGTGTCCATGGGTTATGCATATATGCATACAAGTTCTTTGGTTGATCTCTCCCTACCCACCCACTCATCCCTGCCTTCCCTCTGAGATTTGACAGTCTGTTCCATGCTTCTATGTCAACGGGTCTATTTTGTTCAATGGTTTATTTTGTTTATTAGATTCCATCTATGAGTGAGATCATGTGATACTTGTCTTTCTCTGACTGGCTTATTTCGCTTAGCATCATACTTTCCAGGTCCCTCCATGCTGTCTCAAAGGGTAAGACATCCTTCTTTTTTACTGCAGCACAGTATTCCATGTTGTACATGTACCACAGCTTTTTTATCCACTCATCTACTGATGGAGCTGGAGCTAGGTCCGGGGGCTGAGTCCTGTGTGGCCAATCGGGATTTGGCATGAGCCTCTGACCCACCTCAGAAGCATCACAGGGCTCCTGGTATTAAGGACCTTCTCCATCTGTACTAAGGACTGATCTTGGGCCAGGGGGCCTTGGGAAAGAGGTCATGACCAACCACCAGAACAGACATCATCGGAGTGGGTAGGTGGGTAGGGATGCTCTACAGCAATTCTTATTTGGTTCTTTCTCAGATTACCTCACTTTCCAACCATCTTCACAGTGCTTAGCCATGCCTCAAACACCCTAGGAGAAATTATTAAGAGAGGCAAGGTAGACCTGACTGGTTTAGCTCAGTGGATAGAGCGCTGGCCTGTGGACTGAAGGGTCCCAGGCTCGATTCTAGTCAAGGGCATGTACCTTGGTTGTGGGCACATCCCAAGTGGATGGTGTGCAGGAGGCAGCTGATCGATGTTTCTCTCTCATCGATGTTTCTGACTCTCTATCCCTCTCCCTTCCTCTCTGTAAAAAATCAATTAAATATATATATTTTTAAATAGAGAGGCAAGGTTACCTGCCAGGGCTCACATAACAAATGACCCCCCACATCCAAGTCCAGAGCTCCCTACCATGTGGTACACTATGGGTGCCGGGCTCACCTATTCTGAGCCCCTGGCATGAACACCATGTACCATGAATTATACTGGAAACAGTTGTTGTTCTTCCTTGTGATAACTGGTGCCCTGACCTGTGTTTCAAAGAGTTCTCTGTACATGTTACCCTACTCCATGGAACTCAGAGACTATACCTGGATAGCACTGCCTGTTCTCTTATTGGAACAACTGTGTGCCTCTATGTTAGGTAGAGTGAAGAGTGAGAACCCCTAGAAGACCTTGAATCTTATGGAGGCTGAGGAAGAAGCAAATGCAAGTTCTGTCATGATCTGGGTCTGAATAATAAATCTCAGCCTTCAGAGCACTTAGTCTCATGGTTCCCACGGGTTTTGCATTATTTATTCCCTTCTCATGCTCTAGACACGCTCAGTGCAGATGGGAGTACTCTAGAAGATTAGCCTATCAGTTCTAAGGTAATCAGATGGGGAAGGAAGTGTTGGAAGCTATGTACACTGTAGAATAAGAACCATTTGGGTGTTTTAATAAGGCAATCAAGAGTAGTGGAATGGAGTAGAAAAAAGCCAACAGCCATTGTTGGTAAATGAGTTTATTTGTCAAGGATTTGCTCCTGTCCAGCCCTCAGTGAGAACTGACTGGTGTCCCAGGTTTGAGGTTATGGTTTTGGCTATCTTTCATAGATTTTCTGCAAGAGAGAAAGGGTAGATGTTAAGAGGCTATGAAGCTCTGAGAAATAAGCATTTATTCCCAAGCTTAATATTACCCATCTGCCAGAACATGGGACAGATATACTTTATGTAACAATAGGAATTGTGCACTCCAGAATGGGTAGGAAGTGTGGTATTAGTTGATTGAACAGGGAAGGGTAGAAATGTGAGGCCTGGCTGAGACAAAGGGCTCATTAAAAAGCCTGACTATGGAGGCAATGGTTAGAAATCTGGATGAGCCCTATCTGGTTTGGCTCAGTGGCTAGAGCATTGGCCTGTGGACCAAAGGGTCCCGGGCTCGATTCTGGTCAAGGGTATGTACTTTGATTGCAGACTTCTCCCAACCTGGGCCCTGGTCAGGGCTCATGCAGGAGGCAACCAATCAATGTGTGTCTCTCACATTGATGTTTTTCATTGTCTTTCCCTCTCTCTTCCACTCTCCCCAAAAATCAATGGAAAAATATCCTCAGGTGAGGATTAACAACAACAACAACAAAATTCTGGATGAAAATTAGGAAAAAAGCAAACTGTTGCATAATATATACTGAGAGCACAGGCATTGATTATATAATGAAAGAAGCATTGGGCCCAACCTGATGTCTTGGCTTATTTACTAGTGAATTGTTTTCCAGGTTTAGGAGATATTTTCTTCTACTTTTGTGCCTGGGATTTGGGGTACATTAGTGCTCTCTTTAGGAATAACAGCATCAAGACAAATGTGAGTATCATTGAAGACACATCTCCCAACTCACTCTCCAACAGATGTTGCCACAATAGGTCCAGCAGCATGTGTAATTTACCCTTACACATATAAAGGTTTTAGAACACTTCTTGTTACAGTCATCGATGTTTGGATCTCCCCAGCACTCCTCAATTAACGTTCTCTCCCCTAAAATTGAGATGAACCTGTAAGAGTTAGCAAGCATGGGAAGAGAAGCCCTTCAGAAGCTTAACAACCCTTATGAGAATCCAAGCCCAAGTTCCTAGCAAGCTATCTACGGTACCTCCCTTACAAAAACATCTCCTGCCTGACCCTCCTCACTGCCTCTTCACTTACATGTTTGCCTTCTTTGCTCCCACAGGTCTTGTGTTGCAGATGTCTGGGCATCCTAGAGGCAGGACTCAGTGTACTTTCAGCCTGTGTGTGCTCTCCTATAAAATCTACACTTACATAACAGGAGAGCTCATGGCCTGAGAGAGCGTCTAGCCTCATTACCATGCCTATTTCACAATGTGAGAAGCTACACCAGGGAGAGTAAAGAGCAGATTCTCTCCTTTTTTCTTCCCCTCCTTGCTGACCCTCTGACTTTAATAATTCATCCTCTCTTCAGATACTTTTCTGTCACTCAACTTTTTGGTCCCCTCCATTGATTCCTCTTTCCTATGATATGACCTCCAACTTTGCCCCACTAAGGACTCATGTCTTTTTTTCTATTTTTTTTCACATTCTGAAAGATCCTATCACAAAAACAAAGGGTATATTAAGAAATACCCATTTGGTACTGCTCATCCAAGTACACACAGCTAGGACACAGAGCTTCTGAAAGTATGGGAAGATATAGCAACTCTGTATTGGTGCTCCCTCCTCAAAGTAAGCCTGACAGGGGAAATAGTATATCCTCTGACCTATGGAATATGTATAAAAGTGGACAGATACTCATTGATACTTTCAAGGTTGGAAGAGGAAACATTAAAGGACCTCAACTTGGGAATTTCTTATATCTCTGTGCATAAAAACATTGTGATTCTCCAATACATGACCCAGGGAAGATAGGACTGGAATCAAACACAAAAATACCCCTTCACTTGTCCAGAAACAAGCGCAACAATCCCCCACCCTTTGTCTCCAACCCAGCCTCATCACCCCAGTCCCTAGAAGAGACTCTTAAAAATCTTTACTTGTTTTAAAGGCTGATCTTTCCTTAATTTCGCCCCGCACAGACAGTAGCACCATATACAGGAATGTCATGAGTAGAGGTATCCAGAACTTCATGATGCTGACCATACTTGTCTGAATATATATTGTCAGGAATTTTTTTCCTTATCAGTTGTGCTAGAGATCAGGAGATATAAATAGATTTGTAAAGCAAGAGGAAGTGCTTATCGAATTTCTTTACACTTTGTCTTCTAATTATTCCCCTTTGCCCTCTACCCATCCAACAACAGGTACACATGTGAGCTAAGCACTGCTAAAAGGTCATCTCATACTCTGGTCCTTCCTGTGCAGAAAAAATAAATTTACAAATGTGTTGCCTTTCCTTTAAAGATCATTCAAATTTAGCATACGAAAGTCTTAAAACACTAAAAACGTACAAAGGAAATAATGAGATATTTCCAGTAATCCCCCTATATTGGCATATGTTATTCTGTCTATGTGCATATATATGAATATAAATTGTTTTTGTAAAACTGAATTCATATCAGGCTTGCTATTATGTATCTTGACTTTTGCTTAAAAATTTGTAACATGGCTTAAAATGAAAGTTTTGGCCAAGACCTGTGAGACAAATCAACTTGTAGGCCTTTTGAAAAGAGAGAGAAAGATGATCCAAAAAGGGTTAAGGAACTCATAAAACCTTTACTTGTTTTAAAGGTGGAAAATTGTCAGGAATTTGACATATTTTTTTGGAGGAGATCTCTGAGCAGATTTTCTTTAAAGAATATTGTGCTCTCTTCATTCCAAGTCACCAGAAAGGCTTGAACGATACCTCCCACTGAATTTTCTATGGCCCCAAGAGTTTGTGGAGACACAGTAGACAGGTGTCTAAGTCACACCTGAGAACACAAAGGCCTAAGACACTGGCCGAAATGACCTATGGCTATAAGAAAAAGGCTACAGCTTGCATTACTTGCACTAATTTGACAGGGCAAATGCAAGAAAGAGCCAGTGTGGATTTGTGCCAGATTATCCCAGGCAGGCTGCCTGGGAGGGCCTTTGCCAGCCAGAAAGAAACTGGGTTTAGCCATATCAAGAGAACCACTGCTGAGAAACTTCTATCAGTTGGTGTGCGGAGAGACTTAAAGAACCCAGAAAAACATCTGTGACAGCGTCCATTTTAAGCAGTACTAAACCCAGAAAGCACAAACATGAAGGTGCAATACTACCTGCCAGAAACAACTGTCTAGATTCCCTTACCTCTTCTCCCTCCTCCACCTTCAAAATGGCACCTAGCCAACTGCAGGAGAAGAGAGAGAAAGGAAACTGACCACTCTCTTCCCCAAATGCAGATTTCTAGAGGTGGGGGAAGCCCACAATTTTAATTCAAGCTGTGTATCTTGACTATTGCATGGACTTAGGCTTTTATATATGCTGTAAATTTAGGCAGTGTCTAGAAAAGTCAAGTTCTATACCCAAGCTCTCCTACAGAAGCAGGGAAAGAAGTAGCTCTTCTGAATAAATTTGAGACAAAGAACAAGTCTCCCACGAATATTCTCACAACATATCATTTATATTTTCCCATTAATCATAAGACACCTAACAATTTGTAATTTCTCTTTCCTAGGGGAAAGAATTAATGTCATTGGGAACTTTCTTGCCAATAAAATTTGGTTAAGTGCAAATTTGTCAATCTGGAAGTCCTGGGAAAATGATATTGCCTATCTTGAACCCTAGATAATTATTACCAGTTTTTTCTCCATTGAAATCGGTTTATTCTACCAATAGGATACACATCTTATCTCACCATAGGAGGGAAATTCTCTCCCACTTGTTACCACACTGAAGACTGTCAGGATAGTAAAGGACAAAGAACAAAATGTGGGCTCTGGAGTTGGAGAGATCTGAGCTTAAAACCCAACCCCGACACATTTAGTTTAATATAAGTTATGATTGGCCAAACACTGAACTTCTCAGAACCTCAGTTTTCTCCATCTGTCATATGGGGGTGACATTAGTATCCACATTGCAAAAATTGAATATATGAAGCACTGTACATATGACTTGGCACACAGAATATGCAAAATAAATGTTGGCTATTATTATTATCAAACTTAGACTCTTTTCTACATGAGTGAGTTATTTCATTTCATTGACTTCATTGTGGTCATTTTCAAAAACTGTTTAACTTATTTGGAATTAAATCTGCTGAGTGAGTGAGATTCTATCCTTTTTTCATTTGTCCTAAATTTATTTGTCTCACAAATACTTCTACTAAGTTACTACTATTCTAAGGACTAAGAGAATACGGTAATGAACAAAGGCAAGAAAATACCCCCCTTCATAGAACTTATATTCCAGGAAAGGGGACACCCAATAAACAAGACACATCAAAGAAATACACAATAATAGATGGAGATCAATGTGAAGAAGAAAAAATAAGAGAGGGTCTAGGGCTTGGAACAATATGCAAAATAACTGATGGCTATTATTTTAGGCAGCTCACTGGTGATAAGAGGTGGGGTTCTGAAGCAGGAGATTCAGTAATGTTCAAAACTATTTCTTTCCTTGCCCGACTGGTGTGGCTCCGTAGCTGAGGTTACTGGTTCCATTCCCAGTCAGGGCACACGCCCCAGGTTTTGGGCTCAGTCCCCAGTAGGGGCCATGCAGAAGGCAGCCGATCAATGATTCTCTCTCATCATTGATTTTTCTATCTCTCACTTCCTCTCCCTATCCTCTCTCTCTAAAAAATCAATAAAAACATATTATAAAAGAATTCCTTTCCCCAGTCCTCTCTCACTCCCAACCTGGTGCTTCACATGACTAAGCCAAACAGAAAGGAAGAAAAGAAGCAAAGACAAAGAAGTCTGGGTACTATGAGTAATACAGTCACAATGGAGTCATTCTCATTCCCTGCAAGTGACCAGTTTTGTCCCCCGCAAGTCTTTATTTCTGCTTTGGTGTTTTCAACCAAGCAAAAGATAACCTACATGCATTGGTTGAAATCCCCCAAATGCTCAAAAACAGGCACATTACCTGGAGACATTTTAAAAGGTGCAAAACTCTTTAGAAAGACTAAACTTTTTCTCCTCTTGGCATGTGTGAAAAAAATAAGATTTGAGGCACATGAACCTTTAGATGGGTTGTCTTTAACTTTTTTATAAAAAATTTGGAAATATTTTCAAAGTTATAAGAGTAAGAATAGTACAAAGAGTATCTGAATACCATTTGTTCAGATTCACCTATTTTAAGAATTTACCCCTAAATACCTTCTCATATCATTTCTTCTATAGAGGAATAGTGTTGGCATGATCTGGGCACTTGATTTGAAAAAGAAACTCATCCTCCCTGGCCTGTGTGTCTAAGTGGTTGGCCCAACAGACCTAAGGGTCTTGGGTCTGATTCTCAGTCAAGGGCATGTACCTGGATTGTAGGCCCAGGACTTGTGCAGGAGCCAACCAATCGATGTGTCCCTCTCACATTGATGTCTCTCTCGCTCCCTCCCTGTCTCTCTCTCTCTCTCTCTCTCTCTCTCTCTCTCTCTCTCTCTCTCTTTCTCCTTCTTATCCCCACCTCACCCCTCCCTTCCTTCCACTCTCTCTAGGAATCAATGAAAATAATATCCTCAAGTGAGGATTAATTTTTTAAAAAGGAACTCATCCAACCAAGCCACAAACAAGAGTGTTTGCAGGCTTACACTTACAGCCCCGGGACTCTGATATCCACCTACCTCTGAAGATGTTCAAGTCAGAAATGCTGGTGATTGTTCCACTGACAGTTCTTCCTGTACTCTGGGAACCACAGAGCCCCTGCAGAGGGGGAGGGCGATGAGCAGAATAGATTTCAAAGACTCAGATTGTAATCATGGTTCTGGTTGTGGCAGATCCATGAGTTCTGCCCCAGGCCATAAACTGATGCGTACAGGTGGTCACTGAATTCCTATTCAAGGAGTACTTGTTTTTTGCTTTTTGTTGCAGGTAATACAGGCAGAAGCAGAGCACTGTGTAGTTGCAGGAGCTTCCTCTTCCCCGACATGCACATTTCATGGAAGTCTGGGTGATTGTGGAGGTGGGGGAGCATCTGTATATCTAATTTCCTCCAACATTTGTGTGATGACTTTTGTAAATAATCCATCTCTAGATGAATTTCTCCACTGCTGGCATCAACCTAACACTACATTATCAACGACTCTCAGCTTTTGTGCTGGTGAAAAGAGAGAGCTCTACCAAGGGAACTTGGAAAATGTCATGTAACATGGAGATTTATAACAGACTTAATCTGGGTTCAAACCCTAGCTCCCACTTACTTTGGGAAATTGCTTATCCAATCTGTGCCTCAATTTTCTCATTTGCAAAGTGGGGATAATAATAGTCCTTGTTAATTTTGTCACCCTATGCTAACACTTTTGTGTATATCCATCTAATAAAAAAAGCTATAGAGCACATAGAAAACAAATAACAAAATGGCAGAAGTAAGTCCCTCCTTATTAGCAATTACTTTAAGTATAAATAGATTAAATTCTCCAATCAAAAGAGATTGGCAAATACCCTGGCATAGTGGCTCAGTTTGTTGGAGCATCATGTCATGCAGCAAGAGGTCACCAGTTTGATTCCCAGTCAGGGTACATGCCTGGGTTGTGGGCTCAATCCCCATTAGGGGTTGTGCAGGAGGCAACTGATCAATGATTCTCATTCTTCTCCCTTCCTCTTTCTCTAAAATTCTAAAATCAAAATATATTTGATTAAGTTATATATTAAGTTACAAGAGACAAAGAAGAACACTCTATCTTAATAAAAGGTTCAATATGGCAAGAAGATATCCTATATAATAAAAGGCTAATATGCAAATCGACAGAACGACTGGTTGCTATGATGCGCACTGACCACCAGGGGGCAGATGCTCAATGCAGGAGCTGGGCTCACAGCTGGCAAGTGCAGCGGAAGTGGTGGGATCCTTCCCCACCTCCGTGGCAGTTGGACATCCCCCCAAGGGCTCCTGGACTGCGAGAGGGCACAGGCCAGGCTGAGGGACGCCCCCCCCCCAGTGAAGGAATTTTGTGCACCAGGCCTCTAGTAACAATTATAAATACTTATGCACTAATGACAATCATCAAAATATGTGAAACAAAAACTGACAGAATTCAAGTGAGAAATTGACAGTTCTACAATAAATAACTGGGGACTTCTGTACCTGCTTTCAATAATAGGTAGAATAACTAGACAGAAGATAAGTAAGGAAATAGAG